ACACACACACACACACACACGTATAAAGACACAAACTGTATCTGAGAGAAAATATGCAGTATTTGGCACTGGCTTACTTTGCTGTTATGTTATCTTGTTCTTGAATCAGTGTTTTTGCACTTCCCTAAGTCTTTGCACATTTTCTGGAGTTGCAAAGTTGGTTCTGTAGGCTTCCTTCCTTCTTTCTTTCCTTTCTTCCTTTCTTTCTTCTTCCCTCCCTCCCTCCATTCCTCCCTCCTTCCCTTCTTCCTTCCCTTTTTTTCCCCCTCCAGACAGGGTTCTTCTGTGTAGCCTTGGCCGTCCTGGACTTGCTTTGTAGACCAGGCTGCTCTTGAACTCACTGTGATCCACCTGCCTCTGCCTCCCTGAGTGCTTGGATTAAAGACATACACACTAGCTATGGATCTTTTCTTTTGTTGTCCCTGTTACCACTTTTGGTTCCGTTTCCAGCAGTTTTCTATCATTGAGGAGCCGTGTCTTGGAAGGCAGCTTTGATTGGCTGATTGGTTTCAAGAATTACCTGAATGTTAGAGCATAGTTTCTCACTGAGAAGGGCTCTGGGTTCAACTGGGAACCAAGTTTAAATGGTTATTGAATTGAGTTAAATGTTTCCGTTTTTAGCTTCTCTTCTCTCACTGTCCTCCAAACTCTGCCCCCAATACTTAGCAAGTATTTTGTGATTCTCAAGTCTGGTCAACTCCCCTCCTGTATATGGTCATGCGGCTGTTTTCTTTCTTTTTGTTTTGTTTTGAGGCCCATGTGGGTATCCTGCTACCTACTCTTTCTGTAAATGTCTGTGGGGTTTTGGATTTTTGTCTCAGTGTTTGATTTTAGATGATAATTAAGGTAGATTAAAATGTTTTTTTTTTTTTTTCAATATCTGCAGTATACACAGAATTCACTCTGTAGTCACATTTAGAAGACTTCCCTGTGTGGCACTGGGGCTGTCACTGTTAGTGGAGTGCCTGTCAGACTTGGTTCCCAGCATGACATAGCACTTGGGTGAAGTAGGGGGGATGTATGCGAAAGAAGTTCAGGCTCACCCTCTGCCGGTGCCAAGTTTGAGGCCAGTCCAGGGTACAGAGCTTGTCTTGAGGGATAAACAAAACAGGCCTCTTCTATATGCAGTTAGAATCTGTGCTTACCTGTGAGACCACACACACAACACAAACACACACACACCTCATATATATGCTTGCCTTTTGTTTGGAAGCTTCAGCTCTTTTTGTTATTTGGATATTTCAAAAGCCTTTCAACATAGAAAAGGTTAAAAAGAAGCAACGTATCACTTATAGTAGGGATGAAAGTGTTCTCAGCTTCTAAATATTCTACTTTGAAAGCAGTGTACAGTGAATGTAGTTGTGGAACCAGTTTATGATAGGAACTTTGTGAAGTTAGATAATACAGATTGGATAGTGCTGTGACTTCGCTGGTTGATCAGAGATTAAAAAAAGACATTGCTGGTGTAGAAAGTTTTTCAGTTAGGGATCGCCATCAATTCATGATTGAGGGAGCTTAACGCTCACTTGGGAAAGCAAGGGTTAACTGAAGAATTACAGCCTGAAAACAGTGAAAGTACTGTTGTTGAACTTTGGTCTTCAAGCCACAGGGGTTGTTTTATAAGTTTAGAATATCAAGGTGCATGCCTAGCAGCTAGTACAGACAATAAGACAATTAGGGTGTTCTTCAGGGTGCTAAGCAAAAAGGATAATTAAATCTGCCCTAATTAAAATTTTCAGATGTGATTCAAATTTTTTTTTTTAGTGGAAAAAAGCATAACGAAATTATATCTGGTTTGACAGGACAAACTGATACACTGCTTTCTATGAAAGCATTCAGGAGCTGTAAGCATAGCCCCTGTCGGTCCCTTGCAAACAAGTTGCTATCCTTAGTTAAGCTAACCCAAGAGTAAATACAATGATTTCCGTGTAGCATAGACCTAACAACAACAATGTTGTTTTATAGGTGGTACAGAGCCATCGTTTTTAATTCCATGTTTTCTTTCCTTCTTTTTGTAGGTAGTACAGAACCATTGTTTTTAATTCCGTTTTATTTTCTTTCCTTTTTGACAAAAACAAGGGAGAAAAGGTTTATTCTAGTTCACAGTTCCAGGTTACAGTAATCCATCATAGTGAGAAAGTCAAGGCCAGCAGAAGAGATCAGTGCATCCTAGTGCTCAGCTAACTTTTCTTCACTTATACAGCAGTGCTCCCAATTAATACGGATCTTATATCAATTAATGTAAGACAATCCCCCGTAGTCATGCCCACATGCCATTGTAACCCAGAGATCCCCCTTCACCCTACAGTGAGATTCTCGTCCCAGGAGATTCCAGATCCTGCCAAATTATAATTAAAACCAGCCATCACAACTGCCAAGAGCAGATATACCTTCAAGGAAATTCAGTCTGTGTGAAATGAAAGTACATACTCAGAGCTATGAGTGAATGCTAGTATGTCAGGGAAAGACCTGGCATAACTGAATTCAGAGGGAACAGTATCATACAGGGCCACCTCTTAGGCTACAGTAGAAAGGACTTTATATTTTATTCTAAGGTGTTTGGAAGCCATAAGGTTAAAAACAAAGGAAAAATGGCAATTAAAGAAGTGAAATGTTCCACCTAAATGGAGACCAAAGATAGCGTGGTGTATTCTGAAAAGAAATATAGTAAACAATAACAGAAGAGAAAGAACATGCATAAATACTGACGTATTATTTTTTAATTGAAAAGTTGGTATAGTTTTATTTATAAGTGGAAGGCAAATGAGATATTTACCCATAATATATGTGTATATATTTTTCTTTGCTTTTCAACAGTTTTAATAAATAGCACTGAACCTTGTTCCATGTACTTTTAATTTTAATTTCTAACCCAGAAAACTGGGTTAGAGCAGTGGTTCACTGGTTTAGAGCATATTTTTCTTTTGCAAAGAACTCAGAAATGATTCTCAATACCCATATAAGAGCTCACAGGCATCCCCAGTTCCAGGGATTAGACACCCTGTCAGGCCTCTGTGGGCGTCAGGGGTGCACCTAGTGCACGGATATACATGCACGCACAACACTCAACATATTTAAATAAATAAATCTAAATAGTAAAGAAATAGAATTGCAGTTCTACAAATTGACTTCATTGGCTAACAGATTACTATTTGAAGTTTGAAAGCGACTGTAAATTTTGTATTAGCTATTTATGACTTTTCCACGCATAAATTCTGAAAACTTAAACCAGAATCCGTTTATTGCCACATTTCCTAAGAATATATTAGAAGTACTTCCCCTTCCATTTTTCTTATACAGTAAGTTCTAATGCTGAAAAAGGTTTTGTGAATAAATGTTCTTTCCTGACATTGTCACCTGTCCTTGTCTTCCTGGTGTGAAATGGTAAGTGTTGTAAATTTCAAATGGATTTGTAAAATAGCAACAGAATTTATTAATGATCTATATTTAAGTGCACAGACCTCTAGCCAAAGTCAGCAGTTGTTCTATGTTGAAATTTTAAACAGAGTAAGTCATTTATAGAGAGTACGGAAGTCTTTAAATTATCATCTGGAAACAAATGAAATGAAATGTAAATTTTATGTTTTTAGCAAAGTATTAGCCTTTGATGGGATTAATTTTGGGAAAGTGCTTGTGGGAAGAAGAAAGCACACTAAAACATGAAAGTTATTGTGAAATATTAGGGAAAGTATTCTTCTGATATATTATTTGAATCTTTGTTTGCCTGCTTCCTCTGTAACTTTTATAAAGATAATTTAACTTGTTTAACCATTACATTTCTTATTTATATATGAATCTGTTAATATCCATATCATAGACTTTTTCTTTTTACTCTTTGAGTAAGGTCTCATTATATTGTTCATTGAGCTGTCATTGAGCTATTATGTAGCTCAGGCTGGTATCAAACTCAGAGTGCTGGGATTACAGGTATGGGCTACTATTTCTGAATTACAATTCACCTTTTAAAGTGTAGATCTTAGTATATTTAGTGCATTCATGGTGTTGTGCAACCATCATCCTTGTTATTTATTTTTCCCATTATTCCTAAAACAAACTATGTATCATTCAGTCACCCTGCTACCTTAGTTCCTTACAACCATCTTTGTACTTTTGTTTTTATGTATTCACGCATTCAATATGTTTCATGTAAATGGATTGGTCCAACATAGGGCTTTGGAGACTGGTGATGACCGCAGCTGCTTTGCCCCTGTCACCTCCTTTACTGTCTGCTGGGGTTCAATCCAAGGCCTAGTGTACGCTTGACAAGCGCTGTG